AAGATCTCAAATTAACAACCTAACATTGTACCAAAAACAAAAAACAAAAACAAAAACAAAACCTAGAAAAGCAAAAACAAACCAAACCTAAAGCTAGAAGAGAAAAGAAATAACAAAGATCAAGGCAGGACTAAATGAGATGAAGACCAAAAAATGATACAAAGGATCAAAAAACAACAAAAAAAATTGGCTCTTTGAAAAGATAAAAAAATTGACAGAATGATCATTAGAATAACCAAGAATAAAAGAGACAATTCAAATAAATACAATCAGAAATGACAACAGTGCAGAAATGATAACAGTGGCATTAAATATTTGCCACTTGGGTTGATTTCATGACTTCGTTTTTGTGAATAGTGCTATGATAAACATGAGTGCAGGTGTTTTTTCAATATAATGATTTCTTTTATTTTGGATAGTGATATGGTTTTGTTCTGTGTCCCTACTCAAATCTCATCTGCAGCTCCCACATGTTGTGGGAGGGACCCAGTAGGAGATGATTTAATCATAGGGACAGGTCTTTCCCATGCTGTTCTCATGATAGTGAATGGGTCTCACAAGATCTGACAGTTTTAAAATGGGAGTTACTCTACAGAGGCTCTCTCTTTTCCTTCTGCCATCCATATAATATGTGACTTGCTCCTCCTTGTCCTCTGCCATGATTGTAAGGACAACCCAGCTATGTGGGACTGTAAGTCCAATAAACCTCTTTCTTTTATAAATTGCCCAGTCTTGGGTATGTCTTTGTCAGTGGTGTGAAAATGGATTAATACAGTAAATTGGTGCCAGTTAGAGTGAGGCATTGCTGAAAAGATACCTGAAAATGTAAAAGCGACTTTGGAACTGGGTAACAAGCAGAAGACTGGAACAGTATGGAGGGCTCAGAAGAAGACAGGAAAATGTGGGAAAGTGTGTAACTTCCTAGAGATTTGTTGAATGGCTTTGACAAAAATGCTGATAGTGATATGTACAATAAGGTCCAGGCTGAGGTGGTCTCAGATGGAGATGAGGAACTTGTTGGTAACTGGAGTAAAGGTGACTCTTGTTATATTTTAGCAAAGAGACTGGTGGCATTGTGCCCTGCCCTAGAGATTTGTGGAACTTTGAACTTGAAAGAGATGATTTAGGGTATTAGAGGAAGACATTTCTAGGCAGCACAGCATTCAAGGGGCGACTTGTGTCTGTTAAAGGCATTCAGTTTTATAAGGGAAGCAGAGCATAAAAGTTTGGAAAATTTGCAGCCTGACATTGTGATAGAAAAGAAACAACTATTTTCTGAGGAGAAATTGAAGGTGGCTGCAGAAACTTGAAAAGGAAAAAAAGAGAAAAGAAATAGAAACCAAACAGAGGGGTGGGGCGATGGAGTGGCGAGGACAGGGTGCATTGCAGGCTTGTGCGGGTCGGGCTTGAACCTGCACTGCCTCAGGTTGTAAAGTGTAACAAGGGAGCCAGGGTGGGCAGTGTGGGCCTGTGAGGCCCGTGGGTGCCCCAGTTCCCCCCCACAGCTGGCTCCACAGTAGTCTGCTCTGGTTGCCATGTGCAGATTAGGGTTCCAGACCAAAGGCTGCTTGTTCTCTGTCCCCCATTGTGACCCCAACAGGCCAGGGTTACTGCAGTGACTGCCAGAGCACCCTTGGCATTATGGAGGAGCCCAGGGCTACCCCTCAGCCTCACTTTTGACTGGTCCTGGAGGTGCTATGCAGGGTTGTGGCATCACTGCCTGATGGTATGCGACCAGATTCTAATCCTTATGGTATTTTTTTATGGGAATTGGTGATATGGGCAGCTATTGTAGGATTTTTTGCTGTTTCCTTTTTTTTTTTTTTTTTTTTGGAGAATTTTTAGATCAGTTAGAAGTCGGCTTTATCTGGAAAGAGAGAAAAAGCTTGCTGTAACGTTTTCTGGACTACTTGAAGAAAAATGTAAACTACATGAAAAATTTAGCCTTGTTCAAAAAGAGTATGAAGCTATGAAGTAGAGTCATCTTTAATGGATGCCAGCTTTAAGAAGGAGGCAACAGAAGTGCAACGTTTGGAGGCAACCTGTGAAAAGCTGAACAGGTCCAATGCGGAACTTCAGGATGAAATACCCTGTTTAGTAAAAGAGTTAAAAGAAGAGAAATCTAAACATTCTGAACAAGATGAATTGACAGTGGATATTTCAAAAAGATTACAGTCTCTAGAATATGAGTCAAAATCCCTCAAATCACAAGTAGCTGAAGCCAAAATGACCTTCAAGATATTTCAAATGAATGAAGAATAGTGAAGATAGCAATAAAAGATGCTTTGACTGAAAATACTCAACTTCAGGAAAACCAGAAACAGCTTTTGCAAGAAGCTGAAGTATGGAAAGAACAAGTGAGTGAACTTAATAAACAGAAAATAACATTTGAAGACTCCAAAGTACACGCAGAGCAAGATCTAAAAGATAAAGAAAATCACATCAAGATTCTGACTGAACGCTTGCCAAAGATGAATGATTGGGCTGCTATGCTTGGAGAAGATGTAATGGATGATGATAACTTGGAATTAGAAGTGGACAGTGAATCAGAAAATGGTGCTTACTTAGATAATCCTCCAAAAGGGGTTTTGAAGAAACTGATTCATGTTGCTAAGTTAAATCCTCTTTAAAAAGCTTAGGAGAAAGAAAACAAATTTATATTCAGTTAGCTGAAGTTAATAAAACAAAGGAAGAGCTTACAGAGTATATTGAAAACCTTCAGACTGAACAAGCATCTTTGCAGTCAGAAAACACATTTTGAAAGTGAGAATCAGAAGTTTCAACAGAGACTTAATGACTGAATTATATCATGAAAATGAAATGAAACTCCATGCGAAATTAACAGTAGAGGAAAATTACCAGTTAGAAAAGAAGAGAAACTTTCTAAAGTAGGTAAAAAGATTAGCCATGACACTGAAGAGCTGGAGACCTATAGAAAGTGAGCCAAAGATCTTGAAGAAGAATTGGAGAGAACTATTCATTATTATTAAGGGCAGTTTACTTCATATGAGAAAAAACCACATGATAATTGGTTGGCAGCTCAGACTGCTGAAAGAAGCCTCAATGAATTTAAGGACAGAAAATGCTTACAACAGACAAAAATGAACTGAAACAGTGTTTAAATTTGAACTTTTAGAAAAAGATCCTTATGAACTTGATGTTCTGAATACAGCAATTGAGGGAGCATTCCCGACATGGTCCTTCACCATTGGATTGGTCTTCATTTGAAATGAGAGCTTTTGTCTCTCCTCCAGTTTTGTTCAAGGGTCCACTCAGACTCTCACCTTTGCTTCCAGGGGGAGGAGGAAGAGGCTCAAGAGGCCCTGGGAATCCCCTGAACCATCAGATTACCAATGAAAGTGAAGAATCAAGCTGTTTTAGTTTAACCAGTACTCATAGGGCTCCTCCTGACACTGTCCCTGTCACCTCCATGGGAACAGGCTGTAGGATAGTGTTTCCTCCACCACGACAATCATATCCTGATTCAGCTCTTCCTCCACAAAGGCAAGACAGATTTTATTCTAATTCTGGTAGACTGTCTGGACCAGCTGAACTCAGAAGTTTTAATATGCCTTCTTTGGATAAAATGGATGGGTCAATCCCTTTAGAAATGGAATCCAGTAGAAATGATACCAAAGATGATCTTGGTAATTTAAATGTGCCTGATTCATCTCTCCCCGCTGAAAATGAAGCAACTGGCCCTGGCTTTGTTCCTCCACCTGTTACTCCAATTAAAGCTCCATTGTTTCCAGTGGATACAAGGAGCTCCTTCATGAGAAGAGGACCTCCTTTCTCCCTACCTCCTCCAGGAACCATGTTTGGAGCTTCTCAAGATTACTTTCCACTAAGGGATTTCCCAGGTCTACCACATACTCCATTTGCAATGAGAAATGTCTATCCACTGAGGAGTTTTCCTCCTTATCTTTCCCCAAGGCCTGGATTTCCCCCCACCCTCATATTCTGAAGTTAGAAGGGTTGATTTTGCCTTCAAACGAGCCCTCTATTGAACATCCAGAGCCACAGCAAGAAACCTGACAATATTTTTGCTCTCTTCAAAATTAATTTTGACTGATCTCATTTTCAGTTTAAGTAACTGCTGTTATTTAAGAGATTACGCTTTTACTCAAATTGAAGCTTAATGGAATTATAATTCTCAGGATAGTATCTTGTAAACAAAGATTTAAATATGAATCTTATGAGTAAATTATATCCATTTTATTTTATTCTAGATAATATAACTATTTTAATTCAATTAAAAATTCCACTATTATATAAATAATGGTGGGAATTTTATATATATAATCTTGCAGGTGGGGAGGCTGTGTCTTTATGCCAAGAACTGTATTTACCCTGGTTGTAGACAAATGTGAAAGTAACTTTATGCTTAATTAAATAAATTTTGTTGTTGTTGTTTTTTTTAATGAGAAATAATTTTTTTTTCTTTGGAAACAAACAAACAAAAAAGTAATGAGAAGCTGAATGTTAATCTCCAAGATAATGGGAAAAATGTTTCCAGGCCATGTCAGAGGTTTTCATGGGAGCCCCTCCCATCACAGTCCTGGGGGCCTAGGAGAAAATGGTTTCATGGACCAGGCCCAGGGACTGTTAGGCATACAGATATATGACAAGTTAGTCATGTGTGGGAATTAAGAAATGAAGAAATTGTACTTGTAAATGCATCAAATCTTCACAAATCCAAGGTCAGTTTTCTTATTTTAAAAATGGAGGCAATGCCAGCTCCACAAGAACGGTTTGAATATGAAATAGTTACATGAAAGGACTTTGGAAGCTATGAAGTAAGACAAAAATGTACAATAATAATAATAAATAACATCCCTGTAGAGAGCTAGCCCTTTTCTGTACCTAAGGCTTTTTCTCAGGGGACTGGTAGAAGAGAAGCTCTTTATAGATTGAAAAATATCTAATTTCTACAAAGAAGAGCTCTTGGAAAAAAAACAAGCAAAGGAAACAAACCAAACAGCAACAGTAAAGTCCAAGAGAATAGCTCAGGGCTTTTTAATATAATTCTGATCTTGCCCTACTTAGGAACAGGCTTTTAACACAATATTGATACAACTAAAAAATAACAGAGTTAATACACATAGCATTTATACCATTTGAGGTATTTGGCTACGCTAGGATTTTTTTTCCTCCCTAGTGGAACTATTCATTGAGAAATGTGGCTTTAGAACACAATATTCTACCAAAATTGGAAAATTGAGATTGTTTCATTTGAAAACATCAGGTATGCAGTGATTCTTTCTTTCAATGTCATTTCTTTCACTTAAACCTTCAGGTTTATTAAGCCTCTGATTCTCAATTAGAATGAGTTCTCTAAGTCCCTGTCATAAATAGAATTATATTAACCTTTCACATCTAAATCACATTGAGTTCTAATAAGTGTGCAACAATAAGACAGGTAAGCATGGAATGGCAATTAGAAAAATAGTATACATTTCTTTTTGCATATTTTAAAACTGAGTAATAAAAGTTGTTTACCATTTTGCCACATAAGGTGCTCAGTTCAGGAATATTTTCATGGAAATCAGGTCCTTTCCCCAGGTGTTGGCTTGGTATACTCCACAGATACTACTAATTCCTTTACAAAGTTGATCCGTGAATATTTATTGATGAAGAGATCTTAGTGGTCATCTAGTACTATTCATTTATTTTATAGCTAAAGAAATCTCCTTTGCTAGGTATTTTTATTTAGTTCATTTATTAGTATTACTAGTGGTAAGTAGTTATTAATTTGTGAACTTTTGCTACATAAGTAAATAATTTTTAGAAAATTTATTTTATCATATAAATTTGGAAGCATCCAGATTCTCCCACCACAACTAATTAAAATTCTGGCATTTATTAACCTTTGGTGGCAGAAAATTACAGCAAGTTTTTACTGAAATGTTGAACATAAATTAGAAATAATAAATTTGCATCCTAGCAGGATGTACAGGTACCACTTAAATCATTCCAAGAGCATATACCACAAAGACAAATAATAATAGTAGATGCCTTAATGTCATATGAAAAATACCACTACCACCAATAACAACTATGACAGTAACAGTAAAAACAAAAACCCAACAATATTTATTCAATGGTTTTTCTTGGAATTATCTGAACTTGGAATGATCTTAAGCACCTTAAATGAATAATGTCATTTAATACTTGAAAAATGTATTAACTCATTTAGAAAATACTGAAAGCACAGAGATGGGAACATATTTAGAAAATAAAAATTCCCTCTTTCATTAGAATAACATGGTGAAATATTAAGATTAATTAGACTGGTCAAATATTTTTCAGTGTTTTTCATGTTACATCTGTATCTGTTCTTAGCGTCGAAGAGCTCACCTTAATGCTTACATGTTTTTTGTTTGTTTCTTTGTTTTACAAATTTAAATTTATTGAATAAGCACAGGAGAGAAGGGAATAAAAAACATTCCAATAGTGGTTTGCATGTTTTCTTTCTCGTTAAAACTCAGTGTTTTACTTTCCTTTTTTTTTCTGTCTTTTTTGTATTATACTTTTGGCTTATGTTGGTGATACATCTTCCTCTTCTTCCTCCTCTTATTTTTCCTCTTCCTCCATCTTTTCTTTTTGTGTTTCCTCCTCTTCCTCCTCTCCCTCTTCTTTTTCCTCCTCCATTTCCATTATTTCCAATTCCATTTCCGTTTCCTCTTTCTCTTTCTTCTTTTCCTCTTTTTCCTCTTCTTCTTTCTCTTCTTCGGATTCCTCAGGGGTAAATATAATTTGTCGTTCCAACAAGATATTTGGAAAATGAGACTGTACTATCAAAACAGTTGTGACACACAGCATAAAACATAATATTCTCAATAATAAAATGAACGTGCACAGTGGATCACACACAATTGGCCGGGGCACTTCCCATTTTGGATACCAAAATTGGTAATCTGTAAATAAAGAAGCAATTGAAAGCTGGATTTCACATAAAGTAGTTAAATTGTTTAAGAAATAAAGGACAATACATACATACGGCTTCATCACGATCTGCATTACCTAGAAAGAAAAAGAAAGTCCATAAAATTTTAGATAAAATTTCTTCTTTCTCTAAAAAATAAGATAATTTCCCAAAAATAGTGCCCCTTTCTCTTAGTTCTCAGGCATTATCTTTGATGTCCCCTCTCCAACCAGTAGCCAATTTCAAAGTACAATATACTCCCCTTTAGTGAACTCAGCCTGGTCTGTTACAGAAAGAATGAAAATATAGGAGTAAGGAGACATGCATTTTAGTGCTAATTCTGTCTTCACATCATTGACTTAAATAAGTCTCTCTACTTCCATCCTTAAAAGATTGTTCCAGCTCCAACATTCTAGGATTCTATAATATCTCTTATTTTCATCTCTCTTTCCCCCCCAGATAACTCCTAATTAATCTTAGAAATCTATTCACTTTCCTCATGTAATTCTTATTTTCAGAAGCTTTCAGTTGCTCTTAATTTCCCAGATGGCAAAGTTAACTCTAGAGCCTGGCATTCAATATTTTTAGTTAACTAGTCCAATGAGATAGTAATACCTTTTAGGAAATAAAAATTCCCTTTCTTCTGCTCATTTGGGTTGAGAGATGTATCATTCCATTTTCACACTGCTATAAATAACTACTCAAGACTGGGTAATTTACGGAAAAAAGATCTAATTGAATCACAGTTCTGCATGGCTGGGCAGGCGTCAGGAAATTTAAAATCATGGCAGAAGGTGAAGGGGAAACAAGGCATGTCTTACATGATGGCAGGAGAGACAGTGAACGGGAAATTGCCAAACACTTTTAAACCCTCAGATCTCATGAGAACTCACTCACTAACATGTGAACAGCATGGAGGAAACTGCACCAGGGATCCAATAACCTCCCATCATGTCCTTCCCTCAACACTTGGGGATTACCATTTGAGATGAGATTTTGGTGGTAACATAGAGCGAAACTATATCATTCTGCCCTGGCCCCTACCAAATCTCATGTCCTTCTCACATTTCAAAATACAATCATGACTTTCCAACGGTCCACCAAATTCTAACCTCATTCCAGCATTCACCCAAAAGTCCAAGTTCAAAGTCTCATCTGAGAAAAAAACAAGTCTCTTCCATCTATAAGCTTATAAAATCAAAAGCAAGTTAGTTACTTCTAAGATACAATGAGGGTACAGACATTGGGTAAATGCTCCCATTTCAAGTAGGAGAAATTAGCTGAAAAAAGGGGATACAGATCCCATGCAAATTCGAAACCCAACAGGGCAGTCATTGACTCCCAAAGTTCCAAAATAATCTCCTAGATGTCTCACATCCAGGGCATGCTGATGCAAAGGGTAGGCTTCCAAGGCCTGTGGCTCTGCTGGGTTCAGTCCCTATGGCTGCTTTCATAGGCTGGCATTGAGTACCTGTGGCTTTTTCAGACCCATGGTGCAAGCTGTCGTTCTGGGATTTGGAGGATGGTGGCCCTCTTTTCACAGCTCTATTAGGCAGTGCCCCAGTAGAGACTCTGTGAAGGGGCTCCAACTCCACATTTCCTTTCTGCATTGCCCTAGTAGAGGTTCTCTATAAGGGCGCCACCCCTGCAGCAGATATCTACTTGGACATCCAGGTGTTTCTATACAACCTCTGAAATCTAGGCAAAGGTTCCCAAAGCTCAACTCTTGTCATCGATGCACCTGCAAGCTTAACACCACATGGAAGCTGCCAATGTGCTGCCAAGGCTTGGATCTTACACCCTTTAAAGCAATGGCCTGAGCTGTACCTTGGCCCCTTTGAGCCATGGCTTAAACTGGAATAGCTGGGAGGAAAGGGACCATATCCCAAGGCTGCACAGAGCAGTGGGGGCCTGGGCCTGGCTCAAGAAAAAATTTTTCCCTCCTAGGCATCTGGGCCTGTGATTAGAGGGGCTGCCGTAAAAATCTCTGAAATGTCCTGGGACATTTTCTCCATTGTCTTGGTGATTAACATTTGGCTCCTTGTTACTTATGCAGATTTCTGCAGCCAGCTTGAATTTCTCCCTAGAAAAAATAAAATGTATATATTTTTCTACCACACGGTCAGGCTGCAAATTTTCCAAACTTTTATGCTTTGTTTCCCTTTTAAAAATAAGTTTTAATTTCAGATCATCTTTTTATGAATGCATAAGATGATGTGCTTTTGGAAACATCCAGGTTACACCTTGAGTGCTTTGCTGCTTAGATATTTGTCTTGCCAGACACCCTAAATTATCTCTCTCAAGTTCAAAGTTCCACAGATCTTTAGGGTATGGGTAAAAATGCCACAGTCTCTTTGCTAAAGCATAGCAAGAATGACCTTTATTCCAGTTCCCAATAAGTTCCTCATCTCCATCTGAGACCACCTCAACCTGGACTTCATTGTCCATCTCACTATTAGCATTTTGGTCAAAACTATTCAACAAGACTCTAGGAAGTTCCAAACATTCCCACATCTTCCTGTCTTCTTCTGACCCCTCCAAATGATTCCAACTTTTGCCTGTTACCAGTTCCAAAGTTACTTCCACATTTTCAGGTATCTTTATACCAGTGCCCCAAACTCCTGGTACTAATTTCCTGTATTAGTTCATTTTCACACTGCTATAAAGAAGTACCTGAGACTGGATAATTTATAAAGAAAGACGGTTTAATTGACTTACAGTTATGCGTGGCTGGAGAGGTCTCAGGAAATTTACAATCATGACATAAGGTGAAGGGAAAGCAAGGCACATTTTACATGGTGGGAGGAGAGGTAGGGGGTAACTGCCAAACACTTTAAACCATCAGATCTCTTGAGAACTCACTCATATCATGAGAACAGCATGAGAGAAGCTGGTCCCATGATCTAATCACCTCCCACCAAGTCCCCCCACTCAACATGTGGAGATTACAATTCAAGATGATATTTTGGTTGGGACACAGAGCTAAATATTATGATGGTCAGATAAACAATCCTGAATTCCACTACGAAGCAGAGTGGGACGATAAATGAGTTCTTACACATAAATAACCCAATAGCAACAAAAGACTTTGTCTTGAAATAATATTACTCTTAGAGGAAAATTTAGAACTCAATATTAAGGCATCTTGGAGGTGAACTGAACTTTTGGATCTTTGAAGTTATTTTAGTCCTTTGCACTTGGTCTTACTTCATACTTTATATAATGACTTTATTATACTTTAAGTTCTGTGGCACATGTGCAGAACGTGCAGTTTTGTTACATAGATATACATGTGCCATGATGCTTTGCTGCACCCATCAACCCATCATCTACATTAGGTATTTCTCCTAATGCCATTCCTCCCCTAGCCCCCAGTGTGTGATGTTACCCTCCCTATGTCCATGTGTTCTCATTGTTCAACTTGAGAACATGCGGTGTTTGGTTTTCTGTTCTTGTGATAGTTTGCTGACAATGATGGTTTCCAGCTTCATCCATGTCCCTGCAAATGACAAAAACTCATTCTTTTTTATGGTTGTATAGTATTCCATGGTGTTTATGTGCCACATTTTCTTTATCCAGTCCATCAGTGATGGGCATTTGGGTTGGTTCCAAGTCTTTGCTATTGTGAACAGTGCCACAATAAACATACATATGCATACGTCTTTATAGTAGAATGATTTATAATCCTTTGGGTATATACCAAGTACCTGGGTCAAATGGTATCTCAAATTCTAGATCCTTGAGGTATCGCCACACTGTCTTCCACAACGGTTGAATTAATTTACTCCCACCAACAATGTAAAAGCATTCTTATTTCTCCACATCCTCTCCAGCATCTGTTGGTTCCTGACATTTTAATAATCACCATTCTAACTTGTGTAAGATGATATCTCAATGTGGTTTTGATTTGCATTTCTCTAATGACTAGTGGTGATGAGCTTTTATCATGAATTTGTTTGCTTTTGCTTCTCTAGTTCCTTTATTTTTTTTCTCACGCTATCACTCAGGCTGGAGTGCAGTGGTGTGACCTCAGCTCACTGCAACCTCCACCTCCTGAGTTCAAGCAATTCTTCTACCTCAGACTCCTGAGTAGCTGGTATTACAGGTGTGCACCACGATGCCTGGCTAATTTTTTGTAGTTTTAGTAGAGATGAAGTTTCACCATGTTGGTCAGGCTGGTCTTGAACTCCTGACCTCATGATCTGCCTGCCTTGGCCTCAAATCCCAAAGTGCTAGGATTACAGGTGTGAGCCACCCTGCCCAGCCCACTTCTCTAGTTCTTTTAATTGTGATGTTAGGGTGTTTATTTTAGGTCTTTCCTGCTTTCTCTTGTGGGAATTTAGTGCTATAAATTTTCCTCTACACACTGCTTTAAATGTGTCCCAGAGATTCTGGTAAGTTGTGTCTATTCTCACTGGTTTCAAAGAACATCTTTATTTCTGTCTTAATTTTGTTATTTACCCAGTAGTGATTCGGGAGCAAGTCATTCAGTTTCCATGTAGTTGTGAGGTTTTGAGTGAGTTTCTTAATCCTGAGTTCTAATTTGATTGCACTGTGGTCTGAAAGACTGTTTGCTACGATTTCTGTTCTTTTGCATTTGCTGATGAGTACTTTACTTCCATTTATGTGGTTGATTTCAGGATAAGTGTGATGTGACACTGAGAAGAACGTATATTCTGTTGATTTGGGGTAGAGAGTTCTGTAGATGTCTATTAGGTTTGCTTGGTTCAGATCTGAGTTCAAGTCCTGGATATCCTTGTTAATTTTCTGTCTCATTGATCTGTCTAAAATTGACAGTGGGATGTTAAAGCCTCCTGCTATTATTGTGTGGGAGTCTAAGTCTCTTTGTACGTCTCTAAGAACTTGCTTTATGAATCTGGGTGCTTCTGAATTGGGTGCATATATATTTAGGATAGTTAGCTCTTCCTGTTGCATTGATCTCTTTACCATTATGTAATACCCTTCTTTGTCTCTTTTTGTTCTTTGTTGGTTTAAAGTCTATTTTATCAGAGACTATGATCACAACCCTGCTTTTTTTTGCTTTCCATTTGCTTAATAAATATTCTATTCTTTTATTTTGAGCCTATGTGTGTCTTTG